AGGAGCTTTTTCCAAGTCTCCCATGCAGGTGCAAGGTCCCAAGGCTCAGGCCATTCTTGACTGCTTTCCCAGGCCATAGGCAAGGAGCTAGATGGGAAGTGGTGCATCCAGGTCATGAACCAGAACCAATATGGGATCCTGGCACATGCAAGGTGAGGACTTGAGCCACTAGGCTACACTTTGACGAAGCTGCTTGGGAAAGTAGGGGAAGATGGCTCAAGCACTTCGGTCTCTGCCACTCACGTAGCTGGCTTGGATCGAGCTCCTATGTCTTGGCTTCAGTCTGTACCAGACCTTAACAGTGAGACCATTTGGGAAAATCTCTCTGTGCATGTCTGTCTCTCCCCTACCCCCACCATACCCCCATTCACTCTGCTTGTCAAATAATTATATAATTATATTTTAAAAGTGAATTTAGTGTTTAGAATGGTTTTAGATTGACATATAGTTGAGAATATAGGACAGAGATTTCAGTATAGCCTGCATTCTACATTCAGTACTCTCTAACATTTTCCACTGGTGTGCATTTATTATAGCTTATTAGCTGAAGTTCAGACTTCATAGTTCCTAAATTTTTACTTAGATTTCTTTTTGACTAATACATTTTTTGAATAATAAATTTCTTATGTTTATTTTTTTATTTTTTATTTTTATTTTTGAGAGAGAGAGATCAATCTTGTCTCTGTTGGTTTGCTCCCCAGATGCTTGCAACAGCTGGGCCATACCAAAGTCATGAGCCAGGCGCTCCATCCTGGTCTTCCACTGGAGTGGCAGAGGCACAGATATTTTATCTTCATCTGCTGCCTTCCACGCCTATTAGCAGAAAGTGGGATCAGATGAGGTGGCAGGACTTGATCCCAGGCAGTCACATAAGGCGTGTTGGCATCACATGTGACATCAAAACTCAGTGTGCCGCAATATCCACCCTCTAAGGTCTTTTTTTTTCTATTCCAGACTCTCATGCATAACATCACATTGCTTTTAGTTGTCACATCTCTTTTGTAATGGTTAAATGTTTCTTTTCAGCACAATTCTTTTGGCTGTGTCACTATTGTGATTCTGAAGTAAATTCATAGATAATATAGGCACACAATTTAAAAATCAATATGGTGACCTACATTAGCACAGGAAGAACAGAAGTAGGACCATTTCATAATGAATGTGTTTGCTTTTAACAATGTTCAACTAGAAATGCATCAGAAGTCATAAATTAGACATGTGCACCTACTTATTTTAAGAGTAGGAAGACAAGAGTCTGGATTGCCAGTGATACTTTTGTTTCTGATGTTTTGCAAGAACTAAATAAACATTTTTGTGTGTATGTGTGGACTTGCTGCCAGTGGCAGTTACACATGTGCAGGGTACAGATGCACTGCTTGTTGACTTAGGTGCCATGAGTGGAAGTAGCTTCGTGTCCTAATTTTCCAAAGTTGTGAACAGAGGACTGACTGACTTCTCTAGAGATAACAGTAGTTACATCACTGGGAAAGTTCTCTGTGTGCTCAAAAGGTACAAAAAATGTTTGCTTATATAGGAAACAAAGTCCTAATGTAATTAGAAGCACACTGTAGGGGCTGGCATTATGCCATAGCAAGTAAAGCCGCCACCTGTGACAGTGAGTGCTGGTTTGAGTCCCAGCTCTTCTGCTGCTCATCCAGCTCCTTGCTAATGCACCTGGGAAGAGAGGAAGGTGGTCAAGGTGTTTGGGCCCCTGCAGTCACACGGGATACGCTGATGAAGCTTCCTGGCTTCAGTCTCAGCCTGGCTCACTTCTGGCAGTCTTGGCCATTTTAGGAGTGAATGCGAGAGGAGGAAAAATCTATCTCTTGATCTCTATAACTCTTTCAGGTAAAATGAATAAATCCTAATATATATATGTATACGTGTGTGTGTGTGTGTGTGTGTGTGTGTGTGTGTGTGCTTTTAAAAGTAGCACGTTTTAACTGAGCTGGAGGTCCCTCCTGGCATATGAAGGCTTGGTGGGACACAGTCTCCTGTGGCCTTGTCACTCCCTCTAAAGGCCAGTGACTGCCTGCTCCTCTCATTATAACCAAAGAAAGCATCTGCAAATTTCCAAGATGCTCCCCTAGGGGGCACTGCTGCTGTGACATGAGGTGCTAAACGGAGCTGAACTAGATACTTAGCTTGGCTTCTACCTTTATAAAATGAGGACAGTAATAACTGAGTGGAGGAAGACAGTGCAGACAACACACTTAGCCAGGTGCCTGCTACCTTGTGTGCCGTCGCAAGGGTGTAAGCTAACATTATCTTCTACTTAATCAGCAAGGGCTTGTGTCTACTTAGCATCCAGGCAGGCTTGAAAAGCACTACCATCCTGGCCCAACATGTGAAATATGCAGTGAATTATTAAATTGCTTGCAGTTCAGAGAGGTGTGCCCGGAGTTGAGCTGGAGTCAAAGGGATCTTTCTGGGGCAGATGGCAGTGGCTTAGTGAATCAGGGCAGCTGGAACATGAAGGGACATATATTTATCCCATGAATAAAAAATAGCCCCTAGATGGTTCCTTCTCAGCACGCAACCACCAGCCCAGCAGCATCCGCTGCAATGGAGGTTAGAAATGTGGGATCTTTCCCCATCTCAGACCAGCTGAGAATCTTTTACCAAGGATCCCAGTGTTTGCAGGTGTGATGCTTTTCCTTGCCCATCCTGACACTCCTGTAGCTAAGGAAGGTGAGCAAGGGGGGGAAGAAAGCCTAGCAAATCAAATTAACGCAAGTTTGATGTGACATGGGAGTCTGCAGACGCCAAGACCCCAAGACCAGGAAAAGCTGCCCGTGTTTATGCTGAGCTGTGCAGCAGTGAAATGAACAAAGGTAAATCAACAAGGCCTGGCTTTCTGGGTGGTGTTTGGCCTCTGGGCAGTGTTCCTCCCTCCTGGGCCGAGGACAGGGCTCTTCTGTAACGAGGGTCTTAGGGTGTCGGTCAGCATGGGTTACAGTATTCCTTCATGGCCAGGTGGAGGAGGCTGGAGCACCAGTCTAGGCTTTATAGCTGTCTTTGGGGAGAAGGGTTCTCCCCAAAGAAAGAGGAATCCCAGCTTCTATGGACTGCTTTGGGGGAGGAGCAGAAGCTTAGAAAGAAGGGCAACAGACAGAAATATCTTGCTCTGAGCCTCTTTCTTTCACTTCAAAGTACTCAACGTGCCAAGGCATGACATACTTTGGGGGTATTGTTGTTTTGTTGTTTCCTATATAAACATGTCCATCTGCATGTTTATGTTTGCAATGCATCACAGACCCAACCGAGGAACATGGAACCTGCTTTTTGGATAGGAGCCTGCTGCAGACCATCTTATCCCCACCCCCCATGTGGCCCCCCTCGTGTGTGTGCGTGCATGTGCAGGGAGAGGTACGGGGAGGAGTGAAGGTGGTTTGTTTCAGAGAGTCCCAGAGAAACCTGAGTTCTCTTGAATCAGAATTTCAGAGAAGCAGGGAGAAATAGGCATCAACAAGCAAACAAAACAAAAACCCAAGTGATTCGGAACGAAGGGGTGCCTTATGAAAACACCTGTGACGCCTGCTAACGCACATCCACTATGCGATCAGAATCTGCAGCAGTCGAGGCCTGGCTGGTTTTGCCTGGTCTCCAGGTGGTTCTTGGAGAGCCCTTGAGAGAAGGATCAAGTGGATGGTGCAAGGCTGGAGTGCTGGAGCTGGGAGGGAAGTGTGCAAGCAGGTCTGAAGGCCATCTACCTTCAGGACAGAATCAGGATCGGTGGGTAGGAATTGTTAATTTTTAAATCCAAGGAAGAGGGGGTTTTGAAACAATTTAGCACAGCCCTTCAGTTTACTTGGAGAAATGAGTTGTTCTTAAAGGTAAAGTGGGGTGGTCAACGTCAGGTCAGTCTCCTAATTGGAACCACCCTAGCGCCCCCTCCCCCCCAGCAAGGCTTGTTCCCAGCACATCAGAGAGGCATTTCCATCCCTCTCTGCTTTGGATTCCAAGAACAGCAGCCAGGAGAAAGGACACAGGACGAATTCTCTACACGAGGCATTTCAGAGTACTCGGGTTAGATTTAGAGAGATGGTATGAATCTAAAGACGAAATCTGGATTCTAGAACTTGGGTGGGGAAACCTCTAAATCCATGCTAAGTCTTTTAAAAACGGTGCACGCTCCTCAGCACTGAAACCCAGCCCCAGGTACCGCCGCAGCGCGCAGGCAGAGGTGCCGCAGCCGGAAGCGTAGGGCCAGGCATGGGAGCCCCACACTCCCAGGAGTCCCGAAAACTTGCAGCATTTGGATAAGAAAAATGATAAGCCGAACTGGACGCGACAACAAAGGCCTATGGACAGTCGCAGCGGGGTGTCGCGGGGTGGGGAGAGATTCAAGCATCTTCCGCAGAACCGTCCGCCGTGCCCGGCATCCCATCCGCTGGCTAAGCTGGTGCTGGACAGAGGGGGAACTCTGGACGGAGAGTTTCAGCCCCCGAGAAGGCCCAAGACCAAAAGAGACCGGCAATGGGGGTGGCAACCCAGGCGGGGACCCTACTCTAACGCGCTATTGCGCTCAGAGGGCCACTGCCGCCCTATTGGCTTAGCTGACTCCAGGAATCGGGTCTGAGGGGTCCCCCTGGGTACCATCCAGCGGCGCGGGTGAAGTAGGTGCCTGGTCGCATGCTTTCCTAGCCGTGCAGGATCCGCCTGCTCGTCCCCACGCACACCTGGAACAGTCCCCCTAGCGTCCGCGCGTGTGGCCAGACCCGGTCCCTCCCACCCTCCTCACCGGCTTCGGTGCGCGGGCTCCAGCGCCGGCGCCTTGGGGCGGGTCCCTGCCGCCCGCACCTGCCCCCAGGGGCGGAGCGCGGCGGCGACAAGGCGGCCCCAGCCTCAGCTACCCGGCGAGCTAGCCGCGCGGCTCTCCATCCTCCCCTCCCCTCCCTCTCTCCCTCCCGGTGCACCTCCTTCCCTCTCCACGCGGTCGGTCTGTCCGTGTGTCCCTCCCTGCGCCCACAGGAGCTGCGGCGCCTCGCACTTCGGACTCCTCGCCTCCTCCGGGATCCGCAGCCCGGCGCCATGGAGCCGGCTTTGGGCAATGAGCGCCGCAGCCCCCCTGGTTCAGCCGTCCAGCCTCCGCCCCGGGGCCACACGCCCTTGACCACAGCCCCCAGCCCGGGCCCGCTGGGTTCCCCGGCTCGTGAACCGCCCCAGCCCGAGGAGGAGCGGCAGCCGCGCATCAGCGAGAGCGGCCAGTTCAGTGACGGGCTGGAGGACCGAGGTGAGCGGGCACCGCCCCGGGCCTCCCGGGCCCCTAGCGCGGACTGGGTCGGCTGCGCCCGAGGAGCCGCGGATCCGGGCTCGCAGACTCGCTGTTTAGGGCCCGGCAGGGTGCTGAGCTCCGCGCCTCGGAGCGTGCGGGGGCGCGGAGCGTGGACTTCCTAGCCGAGGCGCGGAGAGCAGGGGCGGCATTCCCACCTCCTGCGGCCGGCACCGGCTTGGCAGCGGTTCCATCCTCCTCGAGCTTGGAGAACCCGGCTGCCTCCCGGCCGACCCCGCCTGGGCCCGTACCCTTATGTCGCCCGGCGAAAAGTTTGCGAAAGGCTTTATGGCTTTAGGAGCCCAGCGCTCCCGGGGGACTGCGGGTCCCGCTGGACTCAGAGAACCCGGACTGGTTGCTCTCTTCTTGCAAGCCTGCTTCGGCTGCCAAGGGAACTTCAGAGAGTTAAGTCTCGTGGTGTCACTCTAGCGTTTGGGCGGCTCGCCCCCTCTAAGGGCGCAAGGAAGGGTGCGAGCCAGGGCTCTGGCCACCGTGCACTGAGGCAACCCAGGCTTGCACCGGGCGCCAGGGCCACCAAGGGGCATTGCCCTGCTGTCTGGTAGTTGGGGCAGGAGATATTGGGAATGGTCCACTAACCTGCTGTGGAGGGATGCCACTGAGACCAGGCAGCGTTCAGAGCACACAGTCTCTGCAGCCTTTCCTTGGACCCAGGCCTCCTGGAAGCCCTCCAATGTCCTCCCGGGCACGGACGCAGTCCCCTCCCGCCCGAGCTCCCTAGTGAGTGGTTCACAGGGAGTGGAGCAGCCTTCAGGGTTCACTTTGGTGCCCCCCCCCCTCCTGTGTCTCTCCCTCGTTTCTTTTGGGCTGGGATTCCTCACCGCGTCTACACCCCTTCTGCTTCTTGCTGCTTTGCAACGGGACTCCTCGAAATGGATATGTTCAAACCGCTTAGGGGCCGAAGCAGGGTCCCTGCAGACCCGGCCTTGCCAGCGGGCTGACGTGTTGGGGGAGATGGGGGAGATGGGGGCGAGCGGGCGAGAGAGCAGGTTCTCGGCCTCTCCACCCCCCTTTTCTTGGAAGCAGTATTTGATCCTCTGTGGCGGGTTGATAGTATATTTTAGTCTTAACAGGTTTCCGTCCTATTCTTAGACTCTCCTGTACATTTTTATTCCGGTTTCGTGTTCGGATGCACGATTTCTTTCTCCTTAGAAATTCTAAGTCGTAGCATGAAAGATAGAATTGACATGGAGACGAACATGGGCAGCGATGCTGGGCAGGATCTGGAGCCGCTCCAGTGGCAGACAACGAGTTCGGCACCCAGGTTTCCGGTTCTCTTCTGAGGCCCGTGCCCTCGTAAGGACCCATGCAAGCCCAGCAGTTACATGCAATGGGGCTAATTGCCACTAACCCCTGCAACTAATCTTGTAGAGATTTTTATTTTATTAGGGAGGAAAAAGTGGATTGAGCTTGTTTTGTGCGACATTGCGGGTCATCTGTAGGCGCTGGCTTTTTTCTCCGCATCCCACAAAAGGAAGGAAAATAGTACTGGGGTGAGTTAATATTTAGGATTATCTTGTAGCTCAGGATCAAGCTGTGACAAAAAAAAAAAAAAATACAACCCCTTCTGAATTCGTTCTTGGGCTTATTTTCTAGTGGCCAGCTGAATTTCATTTTGCATTATGTGATGGCGTGAAAGCCTTCAGTGTTCATGAACTGCCTGGGTGAAGGCATTGCAGGTCACACACAGCCTCCTTGTTGGGATGTGTCCTGGTCCCCAAAGAACCCTCTGCCGCGTGTGTGGCGCACTGGGAGCAGAGCTGAACGGCGATGTGACATTCTTTTGTTTGACTTGACTCCTGATGGGAAGAGTTAATGATCATTTTGGTTAAATAAATAGTGCCTGTGATATCCTTTTCTTGCGGACTGCATGGATTTTTTTTTTTTTTCCTCTTGGAAATGTTCTGCTGCTGTTACCTCCTTCTTCCTGGGGAGAGGGTTTGGAGGAGAGGAAGCCTGGCTAGTAGCCTGCTGTGCTTCTCTGTGCTGCCTGGCTTGCAGACATTAGGCCTAGATACCTATGGGGTGTGGGGGGATGGGTACTCATGATCTGTGCCTATATTTGGCCTTGTCTTTTGTCGCAGACTTCCTCCCTCCTGAGCCATCAGGATTCCTTGAATGTCTCCAACTCTGATCAAAGATTTGCTTTATAGCCCAGGGTTTGGGGACTTGAGAGGTGGTCCTCCTCCCACCCCACCACACCCCAGAAGTGATGTGGGCTGGTACCCAGAAACTAGCTAGCTTGCATTGTCAGTGAGCATGGGGCTGTTTGGCTGGGTCTTGTTCTTCCACGAGCACATGCTTTGTGGTTTAAGACCTTTAGCAGGTAGAAAATAGATCAGGTTCATTGCAGGCATTTCAGCCTCCTAGTTTAATCTCCATTTCCCTCATCATTCTGTCCCAAACCTTAGGTTTAGAGACTTTTTAACTTCAGCATTCCCCACTACACTCCCTCCCCCACCCCCAAACTAATAAAAATTCCCCTTCAGAGAGCACGAGGTTGACAATGTCTCAGGAGAAAGCTATTGGAATTCATTCAAGCTAGTACATAGGAAACAGCTGGCAGCTTCACCCTTCTACCCCCCACCATCTCATTTATATTGGCTTCCTCCTGCCCCCAGATAAATAAAAGAGTCAGTGCTTCACTAATTCAACCCTCACTTCAGCTTGGTATTGGCCTAGCCTAGGTGGCAAGTACATGAAATTGGAGTGAGATGAGAAATTGGACTGTGGAGTCCAATTCCCTAGCCTAGGAGCTAGGGAACATGTGGGCCTGTGTGCAAATGTGGGGCTTGTCTTGGCTGCACTAGGCTGTCTTGCCTTTCCTTTCTTCCACCTTGGGTTGGTTGCCAGCCTGAGAACCCTTCCCACATCTAGTGGCTGCTGCATGACCATCGATCTGACCTAGGTGTGGAGGTACCAGTGTGTGGACTGGCTATTTCTCACTAGATTTTTGTGGGCTTTCCTATTCTACTTTGAGGAATGGGAGGTTTTCCACTCCTGATATCAGCTCTATTTTCAGAAAGAAAAATCAGGAAATAAAGAGTTAACTAGGAATTGTCAAATCTTTCTCATTGGGGGCATTTTTCCCACTGAGGTTCCTTTTTCTTACAGAGGTGGCATACACAGTCTGGGGGAGACTCATTTAGTCTTCTTGTTGAGAGGACTCCGGTGACACCTTAGTGGCAGTTCAAGCAGTGTGGGCTGTTACTCGATGCTCCTCTGGGGGCCCCAGTGGTGGGTGAGGGGGTGTAGATTGATTCATAGGTGTGGACTGAGTATTGTTACTGATTGTTAAAACCGGATGACTTTGGAAGGAAGAATAAATGTCAATGCAGACTAGAAGGTTCAGATTGCTGTTGTTTCTCAGAAAATGGGATTACTTGTACAAGGAGCCTTATCTTTAACCTCTGTGGGTGAATTTCTTGACATAGTTGCTGTCAAAATGTTTACCAGAAGTGTGGTTGAATTAGTATGGCTTCACTTCCCCATGAAAATACACTGGGCAGGGGCAAAGGAAGCTTACCATGTCATTTGGGAAAATGGCAATGAATTCCTAGGGGTGTATGAGATCTGCTTGCTCCAGGTTATAGCTAGGAGACAACAATGATTGCAGGTGAACGTGGAATGAGTTGATATGTGGTAGGTAAGGATGAAGTAGACAAAGGGGCATGGGATTTCCATATGAAATGACTTTGTATCATACTTGGGCCAGACTTAAACAGAAAGGAGGTTCTGGTTTTTTACTTCCAAGAGAATTTCTGAAGGAGGTCTGGGGCGATCACTGCAGGGAGGTGGCAGAGATGGTGTTTGTACTTGTGGTATGTGTTCTGTGGCTTCTACACAAAATCTTGATTATTTAAAAATCTTGTGTATGATACACCTGGTTCACTGGGCAACCTTCTTAACATTCTCTCTAGCCTTTTTCGAACTTGTTCAGGAATGCTCAAGTCTGAGCAATAAAGAGAACTGAGGAGTTTGGAAATCTTGAGCAGGAGGCAGCTTTTGGCAATGTGGACCCTTTAGGAGACAGTACCCTGAAGGATGGCGCTTTGATGGCTGATTGCCTTGAGCTGAAAGACACTGGCATGACTTTGAAGCAGGATTCTTTTCTGACTTTCTCCCCTAGTACAATTAATAGAAATTAGACCACCTCTTCTTTAAGAAGGGTCTAACTTCAACCCCTGTCTTCCAAACGGACAGTTCCTGTCATGCTGCTTCTGTTTAAGCTAGAAGTGTTACTGCAGTCTTCTCTCCATCCCCCTTAACTTTGTAAGAACTGACCTTAAAGAATATTCCAGACTTACATTGTGTGACTATAGATTCCTAGTTCTAGAAGGAATCTCACCCTATACCCAGAAGGGAGGAAGAACTGGATGCCCAATCTGGCTGCATCTCCCCCTTAGTTACATTAGGCCAAATCCTTCTACTAGCCACATTCCTTCACAGCAGTTCTTCATTCAGTGAATCTTGTGGTGGAGTGGGAATGAGGGGGTTTTAGTTTTTGCAGGCTCCCGTATCGTGTAGAATTGTACATTTGTTATGCTTTTTCTATTTGATGGGTAAGGACAGGTGTCACACTCTTCTTATTCTTTTGGCAACCTGAGTGTGCACCCAGGCAGAGAAAAAGGATGCTGTCTCTGTGGGAATTGTAGGTATGGTATGTCCCATGTTGTATTGGTGCCTGGCATTTAACTAGCATTTCCTTCATCCCTTGGAGCTGTTGTGATAAAGCTGCCCACTCTGTTAAAGGAAGAGTGTTTGTAGCCAGAGATGGTGTGGTAGATGTTTTTTTACATAGAATGCAGGACTGTGAATTTGGGTCCCTGTGCTACTTAGAGATGCCATCTGTGATTTGTTTTTAAAGGAGGAGAAACAAAACATAAATCCAGATCACATTTTGACTCTAGGCAGTTGAAGCTTGGGCATTGACTTGGGTGAGGGGAAATATGCTCCTAAATTTTTGTTGTTCTTAAGGATTTCCAATGTTCAACATATAGAAGACATAATCTTTTTTTACATATGACCTACCTGGGAAGATAACTTCAGTTTTAGCAGGTTTTGCCCACTTTACTATTCTGAGGGATTTTTAAAAACACAGGCTTGGTGTGTAGAGAGGAGGGAAGAAAACATGGCATGTACCAATATACTTCAAAAAGTTTGTAGAGAGGCAGGTTTTTGGTGTGGTGGTTGAGATGTACTTGATGCTTAGCTTGGCTCTGATTCCAGCTTCCTGCCTGTACTAACCCTGGGAGATTATGTTGCTGCTACCCACATAGGAGACCTGGCCGCTGGCTTTGGTCCCTGGGACAGGGCTAACATGGTTATTATTCCTTAGAATAAGCCATGAGATGTAAGTTTTATGCTTCTTTTTTCTCAAATACATTTTAAATAATATGAAAAGTGGAATCGAGAATATTTATTTGTGTAAAAATTTTTAAGAATATTATTTTTAGGGGAGACTGAAGAGGAAGGAAAGAGGGAGAGAGAGGATATCTTTTATCCACTGGTTCATTCTGCAAATGCTTACTACCACAGGGGTTGCACCAGGATGAAGCCAGGAAACAGGAGCTAGGGGCTCATTCCAAATCTCTTGCAGGAATCCAAGAAGCTGAAACATCACCGGTTGCCTCCCAGGGTGTACATTAGTAGGAAGCTGGCTTCAAGAGTGGAGCTAGGACTTGAACCTGGCCACTCTACTATAAGCATCCCAAAGGACATCTTAGCTGTTGCACATAATTGTAACTTGTGAAAACTTTTTGAATATAGCTCCCCCCCCCATAATATACATTTCTATGGACTTTCTGAATATCTTGCACAATCTGGCATGTTGTTGGATGTGGTTAAAGAGAAAAATGGCCATCTTGACTTGTTAATTGGGAGAACAGAGAGAACTTTGGTACTTCTTGACTCCCTGTTGTGGGCCAAGTCCTGTGCATCAATTGGAACTGTGCCAGTGGGTCAGTGGCAGTCAGTGGAAGGAACTGCATCTTCTCAGGCCACAAGGCTTACTTAGCCTTGAGGTGGGGGAATGACTTAGGGTACTGGGTCAGGGAGCAGTGGGAACTGTGGAGTGGCAAAGGGACAGTTCCTGTCATGCTGCAGAGGGGCATGTCTCACATTGCCAAAACCCAACACTTTTCAAGGGATGCCAGCAAGCCCAATTTCTCATGTGCAATCTCGTAATTGTTACAACACAGCATGGGCCAGGCACAACACATCTTGGCCCGCCGACTGTCAGTTTGCAATCTTTGGATCAGAAATTGTTATGCTGGCGTGGGTTTCTTAATGAAGAGCTGTCTAACTGCCTTCTCTTCTTGTCTTTGTTAGGCTTACTAGAAAGCAGCACCCGGCTGAAACCTCACGAAGCCCAGAACTACAGAAAGAAGGCTCTGTGGGTCTCCTGGTTCTCCATTATCGTCACTCTGGCCCTGGCCGTGGCTGCCTTCAGTGAGTGTCTAAGCTGGAGCCTGGCAGGTCGACGTGTGCCACTGTTGCCTGTCTTCCTCCCTGACTCCTGTGGGATGTGCCTTGGCTTTCAGTTGACCGTTATTGATGAGTACATTTTTGGAAATGGTTGGCTAGTCAGGGTGCTTATAAATTAGTAAAATGACTTCTGTTCGCTGCAAAGGGAAGAGGTGTTCGGGAGAAGAAATGGAGAGCCTAGGCTCTCATCAGTTGGCTGCTTGGTGGAAGTACATTTTGAGCTGCAGCCGAGTTTGTGAAATTCTTTCATGTTGGATGCCTTCAGCCTGAGCTGACATGTCTTATTTTGAGCCCTAATGCAACAGGATGAGTGCTGTATTGCATTGAGCCCTCACCTTTTCCTAGATTAAATCTGTTTGTAAGGTTTGGAGTCAATTCACATGTACATTTTAATGACAGACGAATGGGAGGGTGCTCCTTAGTTTTCAGTGGCCGCAGATGCAACAGCAATGATCTCAGTTAAGAAAATGGGATTGCAATTAAAATGGTTCCTGCCCACAGACGATCCTACACCCTGTGATATGTATTTTTTAAGTTTACATTTGGCACCTATAGAAATGTGCGCGTGCTATTCTTATTAATCGTGCAGTGATTCATAGTCTCAGTCTTGGTTAGAAACTGAGGTTTATTTGTTGTTTTTAATGCCAGAGGAAAAGCATTTTGTGCATTTTGTGATGACGCTTGTACCTCCCAGGAAGATCTTTATCTAAGCCTTGAACGTCATAGGAGGTGTCTCAGAGTAGGAGAAAGAAAGGACAGTGTCACTGAAAGATATGGCTCTGTGTGTGTGTGTGTGTGTGTGTGTGTGTGTGTGGTTTAAAATTCTGTTCTGCAGTGTCAGATCTGCAGGAAGTTGCAATTGATTTCCAAGAGGAAATACTAGAATTTGACCAAATGCTCCCTGTAAAACTAAGCATACATAACTTGAAGCAATTCGTATTGGCAATAGTATTTTTGTTCTAGAAAAGTCAAATATTTAGGAGCAGAGGGTAATGTTTTTTTTTTTTTTTTCAAGCGGAGATAAACATTTACCAGCCAGTCAGAAATCTGATCAAGAGGAATTCTGATTTCTGAAAATAGCTGCTGCCCTTGCCCTCCCCTTTCAAGGCTGAAACAAGAATAACAAGCCACATTGATGTCCCTGGAGAATCATTTGGTTGTAGTGACTGGTGGGGGACTCTGGATCAGACACACTGATTTACATTTGTAAAGAAAGAGGAGTGGAAGGAAGGCGGGTGATTTACAAACAGAATAATAGCTGCCTGGATCTGTCCATGTGCCTAATAAAGCCATTAGGGCTTTATCTTGTGGGTGTTTGAATGAAGGACTTTACTGGGAAGAAATAATGTACAAGTCTTTCCTTGGGAGAATAAGATTATATTTGTTGTCACAGCAGAAAAATTAGGAGGAAATTTTTGTTTTACTTGATGGTTTGGTTATCTTATAAAATCTTGTTTCATTTCCTTTTAAATGATATGCAATCCATTATAATTAGAATATGATTTTATGAAAAGGGTGTCTTTTTCTTTTTATGATTTCACCCCTTTATTGCAGTGAGTATTTAATCTAAATCCTTTAACTTCTTGCTTATACAGTGTTGGAATTAACCTACATTGTGAGCCCTGTGATTTTCTAAAGTACATTTGATTTGTTTGGTAAGTTGCTTTCACCTTGTTTTAGTTACGTTAAACCAAAAGGTAGAAGATGAATTGCATTTTTCCTCCGTTCAGTACAGAATGGTTTTAGTGTGTGTATGCATTTCATATCTTAAACCCTCGGAGTGGTCGCTATTATGTGAGTTGTTGGTTTTACTCTTTAGCTTTGTGAATGTGTTTGTAATATGAAATACTTGAAATTCTTTGAAAAGTGACATCTACAAGTTGACAGACTTTTGTGTTTAAAGATTTATGTATTTATTGTTTTCATAATTAAATGCTTTATTTTTTGTTTTTGTGTTATATTCAAGGTTTTATTGTCTTTTGATATAAATTTTAAAAATTATTTTACTTATATAAAGTGAACAGATTTAATGTGTTACACAATACCTGTTTAGGAGAATAGTGATACTTCTCACCCTATCCATCCTACTGCCCGAGTACACACGTCTTCCCTTCTTTATTTTCTTCCGTTTGGAAATCTTACAATGACGTACTCTCAGTTCAGTTGACAACCATGAGCTTAACACTCCAGTAAGTAAAGAATTCAACAAGTAGGAAGTAGAAAAGAAGCTACTACTGTTTTTCAAGAGTATAGACAAAGGCTGTAAACGAATCTCAAAATATCAATATCAACTTAATAGATTACATTTTTGTATTCTGTATATTAGTTACAGGGAAGACATGATGGTTTTGTGGGGGACTGGTTTGTTTCACCAGGCGTAATGATTTTCAGTAGCATTCATTTTGTTTCAAGGCACAGGATTTGTTTTTTATGGCAGGGTAGTATTCCATAGTGAACATGTACCATATTTTCTTTGTCCATTCATCAGTTGATGGACATCTGAGTTAATTCCATATCTTAGCTATTATGAATTGAGCTGCTGTAAACATGGGAGTACAGATGACTGTCTCATGCTGATTTTATTTCCTTTGGATAAATTCCCAGGAGTGGGATGGCTGGGCCATATGGTAGATCTATTTTCAGATCTCTGAGGAATCTCCATGCTGTCTTCCATAATGGTTGTATTAGTTTACATTCCTACCAACAGTGGGTTAGGGTACTTTTCCCCTCTATACTCTCTCCAGCATATATTATTTTTTTGATTTTTGGATGATAGGAATTCTAAGTGAGGTGAGGCAAAACCTTATTGTGGTTTTATTTCCCTGATGGCCAGTGAGCCTAAGCACTTTTTCGTGTTTGTTGGCCATTTGCTTGGTCATGTTCTTTGCCCATTTTTTTAAACTGGATTTGTTGTTGTTGAGTTTCCTGAGATCTTCATAGATTCTGAATTTTAATTCTTTATCGGTTGTATCATTTGCTAATATTTCTCCCATTCTGTTGGCTGCCTCTTCTCTTTGTTGAGGATTTCCTTTGCAATATAGGAGCTTCTTAGCCTGATGTAATTCCAGTTGTCTATTTTTGCTTTAATTGCCTAAGCTTCTGGGGTCTTTTCCACCAGGTCTCTGCCTGTACCTATGTCTTGCACAGTTTCCCTGATGCTTTCCTTTAGCAATTTGTGATTTAGATCCATGCTCTATTTGGAGTTGGTTTTTGTATCAGGTGTAAGGTAGGGATCTTGTTTCATACTTCTACAGATGGAAATCCAGTTTTCCCATCACCACTTGTTTGGGGGGTTTCTGTTCTGTTCTATTGGTCTACCTGTCTATTTTCTTTCTTTCCTTTTTTAAAAAGTATTTATTTATTTATACATTTATTTTACCAGTATCAAGCTGTTTTGATTTTTATGGCTCTATAATAGGTCCTGAAATCGGATACTCTGATGTGTTTTGTTTTTTTTCCCTCTATTTTATTTTAAAATTTATGGTACAAAATTCCATAGGCTCTGGGATTTTCTTTACCCTCTCTCTAAATCCCACCCCCAATTTATTTCCCCCATATTATTACAATAGCACAATCCTTTATAAGTAGTTACAAATCCATCTTTCTGCTATCCAAGCGTGTCCTGACATTTCTGGCACAGACAATGGCAGACAGACCAGCATATTATTATCAAGATATATTCAACAGTCTCACTGGAGTCCTTGTTTGATTTGGAAGCAGAAATGCTTACTGAACTGCATATTCACATCTGAATGTGAAAGTCTCTGTTATACAGTTAACTATACATCCCCTTAAGTGAAAAGCCATAAATCAAAATCAACAATATGAATAAAGTTAAAAAATCTTACAACACCATGGAGTTAAATAACATGCTACTGAATAACCAATGTTTCAATGAAGGAATAAGACAAAACAAAAAACCTTCTTGGAGAAAATGTTTCTATGATCTATGGTACTATTTGATTTTTGAGTCAGTGAAGAATTTAATAAGAGAAGAAACTATTTTGAAGAAGTGAAAGTAAAGAAAAAGTGTCAAAACCTATTAGTTGCAACAAAAACAGTATTAAAAGTTATTAATACTATAATTTGCATGAAAGCTCCCTTATATCAGAACATATGGCATTTATCCTTTTGGGATTGATTTATTTCATTCAGCCTAATTGTCTCTAATGGGACCAAATGATAGAATTTCTTTTTTTTTTTTGGTAAAGATGTATTTATTTTTATTGGGAAGTCAGATATACAGAGAGGAGGAGAGACAGAGAAGAAGATCTTCCATCTGATGATTCACTCTCCAAGTGGCCAGATTGGAGCTGAGCCAATCTGAAGCCAGGAGCCAGGAACTTCTTCCTGGTCTTCCATGTGGGTTCAGGGTCTCAAACCTTTGGGCTATCCTTGACTGCTTTCTCAGGTCACATGCAGGGAGCTGGATGGGAAGCGGGGCCACCAGGACAAGAAATGGCACCCATATCAGGTCCCAGCATGTGCAAGGTGAGGACTTTACCTGCTAGGCTACCATGCTGGGCCCAGAATTTCTTTCTTTTTAATGGCTAAGTAGTATTCCATGGAGTAGATGTACCACAGTGTCTTTAACTACTCCTCTTTGGAAAAGCATCTGGGTTGTTTCCATGTTTTTGCTATGATAGATTGTGCTGCTATAAATATAGGATTATAGATCCCTTCTCATATGCAGATTTCAGGAACCAGGAACTCCATCCACATCTTTCTCATGAGTGGCAGGAGCCCTAGTACTTGGAATGTTATCTGCTGCCTCCTAGTGCATTAGCAGCAAGGTGCTTTGGAAGTGTGGAGTGTTCTGGAACTCACACTGTATGCTCAATGAGGCAAGCTGCCATGCTAAATGGTGAGTTACTTGATGAGCCCTTGTTCTATCCAGTGAAGTGGTCAGATTGAACAATTAGCACTTAAGGGCACTGTGATGGAATTACTAGATGTAGTGCTTT